ATCAGTAGAAGCTGCAGGAGACAGATTTTGGTTTGGGGTTAGGATGGATGTACTTTCCAACAATTACAGCAGATCACAAACAGATTGTGTTGTCTTGCAAAGCAGTGAGTATTTGACCCTAGAATGGATGGAAGCAGGCATTAAATGGCTATCAGAGATGTAAGGGGGGATTCTTTTCAATTTTTAAAACATCTTCTTTATGAAATACATATTTCAGAAATGCAAATGCAGCGAGTAGTTTACAGACTACGTGTACCTACCAATCAGATTTTGATACTTGTCACATTTTCTTCCTCTTCACACAGATACAGGTGAAGTATTTACTCATCTCCAACTTCTCTCCTCCCTTCCTCCTGAGATTGCTGTGATGCTTTTATGTTTTTACTCCCTGTGTATGTATACCTGTATGATACACAGTATTATTTTGAGCTATATGTCTCTTTTTGCAACATTCTTTTTACACTCAATATCATTTTTCAAGATTTACTATGTTAACACATGTAAACTTAGTTCATACTTTTAACATTTATATCAAAATATATAATTGTATATTCATTTCCCTGTGAGAGAATTTTAGGCTATTTTCAGTTTTTGTTTTTGCTTTTGCTGTTACAATCAGGCCTGCACTGAATATCCTTCTATGTGTTAGAATAGATTTGTTCACTGGGAAGAGGGTTAATCAACTGGATGGCTTAATGTCCCTTCCAGCCATACAGTTCAAAATTCAGTTCAATTCAACCAAGATTTTCTAGTCTCTGAGGATAAAAAGAATAAGACATAGTCTTTGCTTAAGGAATTCTCTAAAGACTCTGTGAACTTTGCATTATTTAATCGCTTATAGTCTCATTTTTAAGTATCTGTAAAGATAACTGGTCTAGGCAGTTATCTTTACTATGATGGGGCATATTCTGGGATAACTATAGTTTTTGGTATAATTTTCAACCTTAAGTCTTAATGTTAACTAATAATTACTTTATTTTTTTTTTTATTTCAACATATTATGGGGGTACAAATGTTTAGGTTATGTATATTGCCCTTGCCCCTCACTCCCCACCCCCAGTCAGAGCTTCAAGCATGTCCATCCCCCGGATGGTGCACATCGATCGCGCTCATTATGTGTGTATATACCCATCCCCTCCTCCCCCTCCCATCTGCCCGATGCCCAATAAATGTTATTCCTATATGTGCACTTAGGTGTTGATCAGTGAAACCAATTTGCCGGTGAGTACATGTAGTGCTTATTTTTCCATTCTTGGGATACTTCACTTAGTAGAATGGGTTCCAGCTCTATCTAGGAGAATACAAGAGGTGCTA